TATGAATTTCTGTACGATACTATTTGTTTGTCATTTTTATCTAGAGCTTATATAAGGTTCGAAATGCACGAAAGAATGAAAAAAAAATGATTGGCCGACTCGCGGTTGTTTATCTCGACAAATTATAAAATAATTATCATCAAACAATAAACAAAACCACCTAACCTTAAACCGTCTTAACTCATTTGTTGAACTTGTCAACGATACATTCGATAACAACAAACCGGTAGGCTTATTTGATTGGTTCGAATAGGCGCAATCGATAGAATTGACAAGAAGTGTGTTGTGTAAGAGTTTGGGTTTTAGGCCGCCGTGCAAAGGAATTTATCCTCGACGTTTCGCAGCACGAGTGACTTGCATCATCAGAAGTATCTCAATAAGAACTTCTATTCTACGATGACCGTTTCTTGGCAAGTTCCATCATAATTTAACATTTTGCAAAAACATTCAACAAAACTTACTTCTGTGCGATTTGCGTAAGAATTTTAGAGTGTTTGCATGAAAATGTCTGCTATAAACTGCGAAAAGAAGAAGAACGGACATTTTGTGAAAACTTTCCGTTGTAGATTTGCATTATATTATCGAAAAAATCACTATTCGATGAGATTTAAATGAAACTTTCTGAGCTTCAAGACAAACCTCTGCTATAGAATGAAAATTTCATGTTATGACTTGCCGTGGATTCAAAATTTTACCCTCTAAGCCAGTGGAAACATGCCGTTAAAATCGCATTTACACACGTCGTGTAAAACCACGCTTTGTTGCAAATCGTATGAAAATTTCAGCATTTTGAGCTTCAAATGTCCGCAATACATGGGGGTAATTTCAAGTTTCTAGTTGTTCCACATTAAAAGTTTGGGCAGTTTTTATATGACCGCGCGCCCTTGTGTGAATGGATTGGTGTCCCACTGAAAAGATGCACCATATGGACGCTGGAAAGTGTCCCAGTACGTACCTTGAGCCATTGGGGCCTTGACGACTTTGCTCCTGGTTTTCTTCACTTGGATATTGCACGATAACTTCTCCAGAGTAATTTCGCCAGTCGTCCGATCAATGATCAGGACGCATTCCTTCGTATATGGCCGCTGGGAACCTTTGAACACCGTCTGAGTGGTTCCTGCCCCATCTACAAAACCCCAGACCCCTTTAGATACTCGCTTCTTTACCTCTTTGCCTTTGCTTACCCAAATGTGGCACATTGATTGTTACTTGATGGTTGTCTCCCACATCGACCTGGGCCTTCTTGCTGGTGTCCACTGAGGCGGGCTTGAAATCATCTACGAAAAAAACCACAATTAGCAAGACGGGCATGCGGTTTCTGGCTGCGAGAGCCCTGATTTGGGGGCTGCAGTGACTAGCAACGAGTCTAGGGGCTCCGCCCCTATGTTCCACAAGTGCGCCCTTAAGGCCACCACGTGGACGGTTAAATACTTACATCTAAGCGTGTGGAAGGCCTTTGAACGGGGATTTGTGAAACTCTGGCCTATTTTCAAGATCCTCTCTTCAGTCCCCAGGCCTAATCTGTCTGCCATATTCTTCCCTAATCACGGTTCTTTGCAGGCTTAGAACTGTGCTGCTTGTGGTTCTTGTTCCGACGATCTGAACCTGCTTTCCATATGGATCAATCGATTTGTTGGTCACTTTTTAGAAATTTTAACGTCCTTACTATAACCTGTCTGCTTGATTCATTGAAATAACCTGTCAGTTTTGCCCTACCACCCGGCAACACTGTCCGTTTGGCGTTGCCACTAATTGCGCAATGGAATGAGATTTACGGATCAGATGGAACGCGAATTGGATTGTCTTTTGTTAAAGACGTTTAAACCAGCATTGAAGCTTTTCTATATGAATAAAAGTGCATTATAAAGAAGTTTAAAGCGCCCCGATAGTTAACACCTGACTTTTTAGGTCGGTAGGGGTGATGGAGCAACAAGTAGCATACGGCAATAGTGTAGGAATGCGGAAAATGCGGCGTAGCCGCTTCTTGTTTTGGCTATCTCTCTCTTGGACGTCCTTCCGGTTTGGGCCTTTTTTAGGACGGCTAGTTTCCTTTGGAACTGAATTAGACCATCTAAAGTAGTTCAATTTCGAGAATTATCTGCGATGAAATAGAGGCAATCGCTTGCGAAATCGTATAACACCTTAACATAAACTAAATTGCACTCAACTCAAATTAAAATAAGCTCATATTTTTCTAAGAATGGAAATTAATTCGGATTTATCAGCGCGTGCCATTATTACTATTACTAATCACCAATCAAATTTTTAGGAAATTGAGAAAAACCCCAAGGTTCCCCCTTGTATTTGCTTTCACGGCAAGCGAGTAAGAAAGAGACAAACTTAAATGTCCGATGTCACAACACCAAACGATGTCGGTAAAACAGGATGTAGCCGCTTTTCTTATTAATTTCCAGAACCTCTTTTTACTGCTGGAATGCTGGGCTTCTAGCGAATAGCCTTGCTATATATACGACAGTTTTTCCGCATTGAATCTGTTTTTCTGCGGGTTGCAAGCACGGGGATTGGCTAAAAGCAATAAGTGCGCTGATTACCGACTGGGTGGGGTGGGGATGAAAAGAGAACCCAGTAAAATGGCCGCCATGTCTTAGGGCAGTGTATTGTTCTTGTCAAAGTGATAAAGTTTTGTGTATTTCTGGGCGGAAAAATGGAAGAAACTAAAGTAATTTATCATATCGACGATGAAGAGACCCCCTACTTAGTGAAAATCTCCATTTCCCCGGACAAAGTGACTCTTGCGGACTTTAAAAATGTCCTCAATAGGCCTAACTACAAGTTTTTCTTCAAGTCAATGGACGACGATTTTGGGTAAATATTGTCAAGTTTTCGGCGATTTTTGCATCGTTTCAGCGGTCGAGTGGCTTGTTTACAACATTTGCTGTTGCGATTAAGGCACGTCTGTGCCTTAAGGCTGCTAACAGTATTCCATTGCTGGGAAAATGTAAACATACCTCAATGACAGTACAATCAGCAGCTTATGCATGTTTTTCTCGAATTCTGCCCAACACAATTCACTCAATAACTGCTAGCTTTAGCAAGCGTTTTAGTCAGTAACCTTGCAGGTTTTGTCGTTCTTTGCTCAGTGATCCAAGGTAGCAACTTTACGCTCGAACCTGCCTGGTTTCATTAAAAACAAGGTGACAATATTTCGCTGTGTTAACGCCTTGGAGGGCTTAGAATGAAATTGCTAACACCCACTAACAGCCCGGGTGTGTCGAGACTTAATGTTCAAAACAACAAGCCCTCTTGTGCACTCACACACTTTCAAGCCTTTACTTCAGGCACTGATGCAGATTGTTAATTTGCAGGGTCGTCAAAGAGGAAATTATCGAAGATTCAGCTCACCTGCCCTGCTTCAACGGAAGAGTAGTTAGTTGGGTAAAACAGCAGACTATTTGCGTTTGCTCATTCAAATTGCCGAAATTGTCTTTAGTTGGTGTCAGCGGATGGTTCCAATCAGTCAGACGGCGGTTCCCAATGTACAGACAGTGTGTCCCATCAGGCGGAGCAACGGCTGCCGCCGCAGGCCCCAGATTCTGTCTGCACCGACACCGAGTCCATAATCAGCTCAAGGCAGGGCCGGCGACACCACAAATACTCGACCAGAGTTAATGGACATCTTCCAAGGTACCGCAGCTTCACTGGCTTCAATTGGTCATAGCTAAGTTTCAATGCCTTCCAGAGTATATGAGACTGCTTCTATAGTAAGTTCGGACATCGAAACCACCAGTTTCCAGTCTGAGACCACTGGAAGGCACACGGCGCTTTCCGAGTGCTCCAGCGTGAGCCGTTTGCATGTGGCGGGCAGGAAGCGGCCCCAAAGGAGGCGAAAACCGCGCCATCCGGTAAGGCTTTAAACCCTCTAAACCGCTTGCTAATGGGAAATTTTCCAGGCCATGTCGCGCACTAGTTCGTATTCCAGCATAACGGATTCCACCATGTCTCTCAATATCATCACAGTGACCCTCAATATGGACACTGTAAACTTTCTGGGCATCTCCATTGTGGGCCAAAGCAATAAGGGCGGCGATGGAGGCATCTACGTCGGCTCCATAATGAAAGGGTAAAGAGGGTTAGAGAGGCCGAGCCAAGGCTCAATGGGCTTGATTTTAGGGGCGCTGTCGCCTTGGATGGACGGATAGAGCCGGGGGATATGATTCTGCAAGTGAACGACGTCAATTTTGAGAACATGTCCAACGACGAAGCGGTTAAAGTTTTGCGCGAAGTGGTTCAGAAGCCGGGGTAAGTCGCCCGCCGAAACCGTTTGCAATGTTTCATGGGTTTGGTTCTGCAGCCCCATTAAGCTGGTGGTGGCCAAGTGCTGGGACCCCAACCCTAAGGGCTACTTCACCATACCGCGGACGGAACCCGTTCGACCAATCGATCCAGGTACTGGCCGGGATTTTCATGGAAATACTGGTATATTTGGGGTGTCTTTGCAGGAGCGTGGGTGGCGCATACAGCAGCGGTTCGGGGCGACCCAGTTGCTCGGCCGCCCAGCAGTTCGACGGTTTCAAGCACTTCAATTGCAAGCACAATCCCAGCCAATGAACGTGAGTGTCTTCTAGGTTCGGGTAGGTATTGAGCACTGCGCCGCTTTGGTTTAGCACAGTTTCATACAAATCAGGCCTAGTTTCCGATGGTTTTATGCGTTGCCTGCCTGTTTAATTTGTTTCTGTTTGACGTTGATCTCATTTGCTCCTAGCTAGTTTGATGGCGCATTCGCCTTTTCTGTTGAGGTCAAGAATAAATTTGGAGTTCTACGTGCGCATTCGCCACATTGTGGCCAATGGTAAAGCCTTGATTGTAATTGTGGCGTTTCAGATCTAGTGGAGCCGCTGACGGTGAATTCGCCAATGTCCGAGATTGTTCAGGCCATGCAGCGTCCCGATAGCGGATTGGAGATTCGCGACCGCATGTGGCTGAAAATCACCATCCCGAACGCGTTCATCGGCACTGACATGATCGAATGGCTGTTGCTGCATGTGGAAGGCTTCCAGGAGAGAAGAGACGCGCGAAAGTACGCCTCCAATCTGTTGAAGGCCGGATTCATACGACACACTGTGAACAAGATCACGTTTTCTGAGCAGGTGGGTTGAGAGGCGCCGGCGAATGGGGTTGTTTGAGCTGTTGCTTTCAGTGTTATTACATATTCGGCGATTTGTGCTCGGCAATGAGCAATCTGAAGCTGCAAGGCGATACGGACAGTGTGGGGCCTTTGCCGAACGTGCCCAACTATATGCCGTACAGTGGAACCTACAATCCGCTCGAGTACATGCCGATGCCGTTCTACAGCGAAAACACCGTCTATGGGTATCATAAGGAGGAGAGCGTCCTGAGCGGAAGCGGTAAGTGTGAGTAAACTAGGTGGATGGTTGTTGGCATGGGGGTGTAAACGAGCACAATTTCGCGGTCTTAGCCGGTTTTCAAAGTGTCTCGACTGTGTAAAGTAGTAAGTGGCCCAGACATATCGGCGACATTTAAATCAAGTAGTAGAACATTTTAGGTATGTACCACGAGTGAGGGAAACAGATCAGAATAGGTAACACCGTTTGTTTCAGATGTCTTTCTGATTCAATCTTCTTCGCCAATCGAATTGGGGGTGTAGAGCGCCACCTGTCGAGGTTCAGGGAGGGAAACTGTCGTACCTTTTAGAGCCAGTCTAACCTTAGGTTTATTGTTTCTTTGTTAGTAAACTGGTGCTAGCTGATGGGTTTAATGACCGGAATATTGGGGTCTGCTTGATGACTTTCTTCGTGCTCTTTTAGTTCCTTTTGCCAGCTTTCAGTTCTCGTTGCACCAGTTTATGTTACTGTTGTTTGTTCTCATACTCACTAACTTAGTTAGGTTTTTTTGCTGAATATTTGGCAGTTTTTGCTGGTTTCAACCAGCCGAAGCTCACTAAAAGACTTGAATGTGCCATTCCCAACTAGCTTAAGACCGATTTGTGTTGCCAGATATTTTGCACGTTTACTTTACGATTACGCTAGTTCCTGCTGTAAATAAAACTGTGTTTTTATGTTTTTTGTTGTGCTTATTTTTTCGTTTGCGCTGCTTGTTTGTTCTGTGCGAAAGCCCCCTGAGGGGGCGTCGTTCATTTGATGAGTGTGGCATTTTAGTAAATCCTGCGTGGCCAGTGGAAGCCATCCACTTATTATAAACCAACCAATTTGCTTGCAGGCGGTAGCTCGAACGGCTCCGATCCGTTGAAAGAGAATGCGGGCGGCCACAGCAGCGCCAGCGACTCGGACTTGACATCGCTGGGGCCGAGATCGGCGGCGGTGCATGGGGGCGGCGCAAGCGGCAACGGAAACGGCAGCAGCAACGGCTCGGAGCGCAGCAGCGGCACCCAAGTGGCAGCGGGCGGCAAAGACATAGCCGGTAGTAGACAATCCTTTAAAATAGCTATGGGCAATCCGTGCGAGATGTTTGTTGATGTGATGTAGTAGATCGTTAGCCAGTAGTTTCGGCAGCTTTTTGCTCTTTGACTTGGCCCGCTGGCCGACGTAGGTAAGTTCACTCAGCGCCGCTGGTTGGGGCGGAGCCCCCCGACGCTCCGCGACCAGATTTCCGTGAGAGCATGCTTGGAACTGTTGGGGTTTGACTTGTTTTTGATCTTTTGGAAGTTGCCAGCTTGAAATAGTCGTTCGAACTTAAGTAAGCACTCGTTTAATACGCAAACAGCGGGTTGTTTCAAGCGTGGGCGCCAGTAGTTTCAATTAACTCCGATTGTAGTTTCACTGGATTTTCCACATTTTTTAAAAGCCTATCGAGTCATTTTCACTGTCGTGGACAGCAATTTTGGACATATAAATTTAGCCGTGAGAGTATCAAGTTCGAACGTAGCAGAACGGTTTCAGTCATTTATTGTCTCTATTTATCAATTAAAATACGTTTCGGTGTTTTCCACCATCATCAGTTTCTATGTGTAGCGTTGTTGCTGCTTT